CTTGCTTCTCAAGGTGGTCCTTATCTAAAAGTAGTGGAATTTTAGCTTCAGTCAGTTCCCAAACCATCATTTCACCTTTCAAAAATTTGTTACATGTCTCTATTGTTCTTATCACTCTCGATATTATCTTTGCCATTTTGGTTTGTATTTTTATGTCCTTAACCTAGTCATTTTAGCATTTTGCTTTCCTGAAAGTTTTGAGGTAAATATAACATTCAATTTAAGAAAATTTCCACTTAAATATCTCTCCCAGATTTTGAGGTTTAATATTCAGTAATTTTCATACAAATATAGTAAGTACACAGTATTTTTACTTTCAAGTAAACATTTAAATTTTCTATTTGTCAAAATCTTTACTGTCATGATGTTGCCTTAATTGTAATGGATTCTGTGCTCCTGGCTCATTATCTCCTTTTGTGTTTTTAGAACACTCCTCATTTGTAAAATAACATGAGCTCCTAGCACACTCTCTGGAACATTTTGGATGTGAAATAAATATTTGTTAAGAGTGTATGAGTAAATTATAGAACCAATTTTGAAGTTCTTACTTATTCTTTATTTAATTTCCAACTTTGAAGTTCTTATTTATTCTTAGGTTAATTCCCTATTTTATGCAACTGATATTCACTTTATTCAATTGATATGTATTTATTCCCCTGACACTTTTATGAATAAGGTGTTGTGGAACAAACAATAATGATTTTGAAAGTTTTTGATCTCCATTTACAGTCTATTAATATAGAAAATTTTCACTAAATAAATCAGACTACAATAAGGTGGCGTAAAAGTCACGCCGATAATCTGAGGGTTCAGAGAAATGAATTTTATTGGAACGGGAATTCAAAAAGTTTTCATGAAACAGTGACATTCAGGTAAGTCTTAAAGAGTTGCTAGACTTCAACATGAAAAATGGAAATCATTCTAAATGAGTAGACTGTAAGTGAAGTGATGAAGAGATAGGAAAAGAAATTCAGTGATAAAGTTGGCTTGGCTGGATTAAAAGGAATGAAAGTGAAACATAGAACATAAAGCTGGGAAGAATGTGGAACAGATATATTTGGTTATTGGTCATAGGAAAGAAAGAATATGGGTGTTTTTCCATAGGGGGACACAAAAAATTAATCAAACTGAGATTGCTGTGATCCAACATTTTTTCTGGGAAGATTATATGAAAGCACTTGAAAATTGATTGAATCCTGGCAGCAAGAGAAATTAGATATTATTCTGCTATTTGAACCTCTGTTATGAAAAAGATGTAGGTTCTATTCCCAGGTATAGGGAGATTGGAAGAGAAGATAATTTAGGAAATTAGATAACAGCAGTTTTAGATGTATTAAATTTAGAGTAAATTTCAGGTAGACATGTCTAGCAGACAGTAGAAAGTGTGAAATTAGACATTGAAAAGAAAGATAAAATGAACTGTCAACAATGATTTAAAAATAACATGTAATCATTTTCTCTGATATGAAAGATTTGGATACATTGAAAACTTACGTTACTCTTTTGAATCATTTTTATTCATTATTGCAAAGCTCTTGATTTAAAAACAAAAAGTGTTGAGCAGGTCTTGGTGCAGTGACATCATTTTTACATTAATTCCCAAACATAAGAAGAGTTATACAATATCTTTTTATGTTTTGTGACACTTTTAAAATCATTAATCATTTGTGCAAGTTAAAAACCCAGTGTTTTATTGAACAAATAATTGGAAGCATAAGATGAGATTTTCTCTACTATATCAAAGTACACATTTCTATAGATCTGTTATTTCCTTGATATTCTAGCACTTGTTTCTTCTATCCTTAAACTTAGGTGATACATATATTGATATTTATATTAAGGTTCAAAGGAGCTAAACTCCATTCTGTACAACTTAGAAACTAAAGTATGATGCAGCAATATTTTAATGTTTACATTTAAATTAAACCTTTAAATATTTTAAAATTATAAACATAGAAAAGCTTATGATAAATTAAAAATATGTGTATGAAATAATTATTAGACTTCCCATTTTCTCTATATCCAATTGTACTAGGAGTTAATATTCCTAATTGTTCTCTTCAATTTTTAAATACCTAAGAGAAACATTAATGAATATCAGCCTTTTATTTTTCCTTGTCATTTCACTTTTATTTTATTTCAGCTTTTTTATTTTAATGTGAGCTTAACCACACATATTTTTGTAATTTGTTTACCTGAAATATTGTCATAGGCATATTTTTTTATTAATGTTCTAGGAGAAACAATACAGATAAAGATAGCAATTTTTGTTCTCTTTGAGAAGTTTTCTAAAACTATTAAAAATCACTGAGAAAATATAAAAGAACTAACATACTATTCCTTAGGCATTATCAGTGAATCTGAATATTATTTCTGCAAAGACACTAAAATGTAATTCTAAGATCATCATTCCTTTTTTTAGTATCACATATGCCAAAGTTATGTTGTATGTTAGTCTGTGAAAGCCCCCTTCAAATGAGTTGACATGCTTAGGTAAAAATTATGTTCAGGTCTGTCTTTTTAATCTTAGCTACTCTGGAGATGTATCAGTGACTTATAAAAGTATCATTTCCAAGATGTTGAGAGGAATAATACTGTGTTTTATGCATTCAAAACCAGAGGAGTCTCTGAAGCTACATTGACACATGAAGGCATCACTTAGAAGAGGGAGGTCTTCAGTCTCCTAGAGACCCAAGGGGTGTTAAACATCACATGTAGTTATCTATTTAAATTCCTGTACTGAAAGAACAGAACATGGATGTGACTATTTGGCAAAATGTGCGTTTTCTTTTAGAATGCATTATGAGATAAAATCAAGCCAGATGAACGCCAAACACACAAGAATGAAGTTTTTTTGCTTCCTATTCTGATATCTTCTGGGCTTACATTATCTTCTCATAACCTAAGATTTAGTTTACAGTGAAGGAAACATCAAGTGAAATTTAGATTATCATACTCAGAACCCTGTTGAAATTCTTGCTTTCTCCAAGCTACAACTTTTATTACAGAGTTTTTGACCAGCTTCAAGTAGTATGAAGTAAAAATGGTGGGTGGTTTTTACAGATGATATTATCTTATTGGAAAAGTTCCTAATGACCAAATGGGTTGCTCTCAGAATTATTAAAATCAGAATGTAAATGAAATAAATACAGAATCATAATTATACATGTTATCATATAATTTAATATTAGTCATGTTTAAACAATGTCTATAAAATATTTCAATTTATTTTAATATTTCATACTAATCTTAGGAATAATAAAACTTTCAAGTAGTAGTTTGGAAATTCTAGGCTACAGTAAATCTCATAACTGAACATAGATCATACGCTTTTGGCTTGTTTATAATGTATTATGAGCAGATGATTAATATCTACCTTTTTATTTAATCTTTTCACTGATTTCAACTTTCTTTTCCTCTTTGGTGAGTTAACATACCTCCAAAGTAGCTTTATCTTTTTTATCTCCTCACATTAAAAACTGGTGAACTTGGGCCGGGGATTTAGCTCAGTAGTTCTGCCACCTGCCTTGCAAGCGGGAGGACCTGAGTTCAATCCCCGATGCAAAAAAAAAAACCAAAAAAACTGGTGAACTTCGAGGTGTTGAATTTCCTTGATGGAACCCAGTCTACTTACGGAGCTTTTCAGAACTACTGCTATTTTTTTTCAATCTGTGCCTTCGCCCCCCTCCATTCTTTTCCCTAATTCGTACTATTACCCACAAGTTCTGCTGTTCTTCAACAAGTATATTTTTTCTTTCTACTCTTTTGATTTTTTATGTAATCCTCACTCTTTTACTGTATCTTTAGTGAAGACGCTTGCTTGTAGTTATGTAGCCCAGTTAGACCCAGTACAAAGTCTATCTTAAGTTTTTATGCTAGTTGTATGACTTTGGCAGGTTAATATCTTTAAGTTTCCATTACTCAGTTTTCTTATTTATAAAAGACAGCTCTACAAGGTTATTGTGAGATTTTTGGAAATATAACAACATTGTCCTTGGTAGATGGTACTTGATAAATGTTGAGTTGTCATAGGAAAATGATCCATAGTCCTTAGGTTAAATATATTTTCAGAATTCAGAATTGTATGGTCTTTAACAGGTGTACATATTCCATACATTACTTAATTTTTCCAGCACAGTGTGACTCAACATACTTTAACAAATTGGGTATTCTATACGAATAATTTCCTTTGAATTCTGTATGCAGAATCAGCCTTCTTTCTGTCATTCAGGTCAGGAAGGTACTACCAAATGAATTACAAAAGAACTTATTATTCAAACTTTTAAGTTTCACAACTGTGAGTAAAGGGTAGGGAATCTAGAAAATAAGAAGGAATTCTTCATTTTTTTGTTGGAGAATAAAATGTATCCTTTTATTTTGACCCTCTGGGTGTTTTCTAAATTTTTTTTTAAATATGGGACCACAGACTCACTTTCAGTTCCAAAACTCCTTCTCCTCTACAATTATTCCCCAGATTGTTTTGAGAATTAAAAGGAAATGAAATAGAACTGTTTCAAGGAAAAACATATTTAACTGGGCATAGAAAATTAATGTGACATTGAGCATTTTCCTTTGTATCTTGCCTAGCTGTGAAGTATGTATATATATCTGGGGAGAAAAAGACATAAAAATCTTTAGTCTTCTTTTCTTCCTTTGTGAAGGAAGATGGTTCTTCATATATTTTCACTTGGAAGATGTTTTACCAGATTTTGTGGCTAAATGCAGCATCCTAGCAATTTTAGATTGTGTATTTTTTGTTTTACATAAATATTTGAGTTCCTAGACAAATATAATTGTCTTACTTACTGATTGATATTGTTTCTTTTTTCTTCTACAAATGAAGATCTGTATAGATTTTAGTCTGTTCTTTCCTATTATTGATTTGGAGGACTTTCCTATAATAATTGGTTTGTTATGGGAATAAAAATTGTAATGGAATCATAGTCTTGTAATATGTAATTATTAACCAGAATTGATTGTAGTATGTATATTTCTTTCAGTGCCCTACTGAAACCAAAGCAACATTTGGGGTCCATCTTAAAATAGTAGGAGACTGGACAGGTATGTAGAACATAAAGTTTTAATATACTTGCTTTGAAGGTAATGGGATAGAGCAATAATTTGTATGTGTTTGGATATTAGAACTACTGGCATTCATGGAGACTTGTATGTGTTCCAAAGTGTTATTTTTTCCTTTGCTTGTACATCTAAGTTTTGACATCTAAGTGTTTCTTGTAAAATGTGTTTTTGGAATCAGAATACCGTGGATATTAGTAATTATTAATAATGTATTATTCAGTGTGTTTACAAATTGCAGGTTTCTACCTGCTTGTCAGATGTACTGGCAATACTGGGGCTGCTGAAAAGTACTTCTTTGAAAACATGATTGTAAAATTCATGGGTGGTTTGACTCTAAGAGTAATCAACACCTGAGATTTAGATCATGTTAATATTCCCGTTCCTGAATGATCTTTTGTGCATTGGATCTGTACATATAGTAACTACTACATATTTGGGAGAATGATCACTTTTAATAGCGGAACTGTCAGTGATACTTATCTATTCAAGAAATATATCACATTTTCTGAAAGATGCATTACACTGAGTTTTGAGTAAATAAAATAAACATTATTCATTCTTATGATGCCTCGACCCACCAGTGACTGACAAGTGAGTAGTCACTAAACACTGGATGTTTGGTTGGTTGTTTAGGTTGTTTGAAGGAACGAATAAAAATATAAACATAAAAATGTAAATTAAAATAGATTTTATAATTAATGCTAAACAAGGAATCACCTTATAAAATCTACAGGAATTCAGAAAAAAGTGTAGTCTAGGCCCACATGAGTAGCTTCACACAGAAAATAGAATTTGAGTTAAACCTTGGAAATCAAGAAAATGAAGAAAGATACAGGTAACAAAATGAAATTTGGTGTTGTCAAATATCAATAAAAGCAATAAATAATCTGTAGGATGAGACACTCCACCTACAATAGATCAAATGAAAACAAAGTCAGTAAAACCAAACAAAATAGTCAACAACTGTAAAGATTTTGTTCTGCTAAATAATATAGAAAAAACATTTGGGATCAAGTGTGTTGAAGATTATGAGTGCATCCACAAGATGTAAGAATAACCTAGATGCTTTAGGGAACATTTGAAAGATTTGAAGCTCTGTGATGAAAATGCTAATAATAAGTTCCTACAGTAGCTGGGTGGATTAGAATCAAGGAAGATTTGTAGGTTCTTGGAAGGCAGATGGGAAAGAAGTAGTGGAGGGGTGTAGATGGAAATTGGAAGGATAACATTTGTGAACATAAGTTAAGAAGTTAATATTGGAAAAAAGGACCTAATTTATTTAACAATCAGAGAAGGATGAAATGGTAGATAATAAGAAAGTAGTATTTGAGGGTGAGAAGAAAACTAGTTGATGTAAGAAAATTATACCATATACTTAAAGACTAATAGTGTGCATAAGATTCTCTGCAGTTAGCTACGCAGCATGATGCTGCATACTTGTAATTCCAGCACTGAAGAGGTGAAGGTAGAACTGTGAGTTCCAATCCTAGGTCTGGAGGATAGCAAGACCCTCTCTTAAAAAAAAGAAAAAATTTAAAAATTAGAAAGCAGCTGTAATTAAAGTGAATATCTTGGAACTGGAGACAAAAAATAAAGAAAATTTGTAACATGGGATTTAATGGGCAAATAACATAATGAATTAAAAATATCTTTGAGCAGTAATAATTGACTTAGAATCATTAAAAAATAGCTTAAATAGACATGTTCATGTAATACCATTCAAAAGAAAACATGGTAGTCCATCGATAGAAAAACACTAAAGTATTGTAGAATAATGAATTCTTATGATATGTCCAGAATCAGTTGATTAACAGTTGCTTTGGGACTACTTGGGAAAATAAAGAATAAGGGGAATTCTATTTTGGTAAGAATCTCAACATAACTGAGTGTGGTGGTGCACATCTGTAATCCCAGTACTCGAGAGGATGAGGCAGGAGGATCACCATGAGTTCAAGGTCATCCTAAAGTGGGCTACATAGTGAGTTCAAGGCCAGCCTAAAGTACAAAGTGAGACCAAGCCTCAAAAAAGTAAGTAAGCAAGCAAGCAGATAAACTAAAAGAATCCTAATATAGTAGGAATTAGTTCAGCAGACTGACAGAATGCTGTATCTGAAGGAAAATAGGAACAATGAATCTGTAATTTAATTCATAAGGTTAAGTAGCAGCTATATATGATGGCTTAAACTAGCTATTGTTTCTGAGTTTCTTCTCACAGTTATTTTCTGTCAGCAGTAGCTCATTAAAATAAATAAATATTTTAAAATACGATTACTTCCACATTTATTTTAATCATCTCTATTAGGAATATGTAATAATTTTAATTGTATTCTACTTTTTAAATGTACTGTCTCATTGAGAGAAAAACAAGATCATTCTATTCAGAGAGTAAAGTTCCAGTCAGATGCTTTTCAACTAATAGAATTTCTTTATTGTTGAAATATTTGTTTGTTTGGGAAAAAAATGTCAAGTATTCATGCAGGGAATCCTTAAATAATTGTTCCTTTAGTTAAAAAGTAGACCAAATTGCTTTTAAAAAATAGGATTACAATTATTGAAGGAAAAATTACTTCTGAGATCAAAGGTCACTTCTTTTTATTATTTAAAAAATGGATGAAAACTCAGTATTAAGAGCAGTAGGAGGCTGAGCATGGTGGCACATGCCTGTAATCCCAGCACTTGGTGGGCGGGGGGCGGGGGAGCTGAGACCCGAGGATTGCTTTGAGTTTGAGGCCAGATTGGGCTACATAGTGAGTTCAAGGCCAGCCTGAATTATATAGCAAGTCCCTGTCTCAAAAAAGCCAAAAAACCCCCAACCAAACAAAAGAGCAGTAGGGCTGGGTGTGGTGCTGAATGCCCATAATCACAACACTCAGGGAGACTGAAGCAAGAGGATTATGAGTTCCAGCCCAGTCTGGGCAACTTAGAGACTTTGTGAGACCCTGTCTCAAAATAAAACATAAAAATAAAAAAGGGATGGGGATGTATCTCAGTATAAAGGCCCTGGATTCAATCCCCAGTACCCTTCCCTCTCTCTAAAAGGAGCAGTATGTACGGGAAATACAAAAGAGGTGTTTAAGAGTTTGAATAACAGACGTTATTTTTCTCAACTGACTTAGAGATTTTTAATAATGACTTCTCTTAATAAAGTAAATTCTGGATGGGCAGTGTATAAGATACAAAGAACAGGTACAAGTCTGTTCCATAAAGATGCTTTCAGCACAAATCAACTATACATACCTGTGTGCTCAAAAAGCCAATGAAACAGCTACATAGCACTGGACAGGGAGGCATGCTAGTTTCATGAATGTCTAGATGTTTATTTTCACCAGACCTCTAGTTTCATCTATGTGTGAGATACTCTGTAAGTTTAGAAGACTGTTATAACCCCTTAAGCACAAGTTCCATTGTACTTACAGTAATGCTGGGTTTTTTTTTTTTTTTTTTGTACCTGGAATTGAACTCGGACCTTGTGCTTGCCAGGCAGGCGCTACATCCCTGGGCCCCTCTGGTATTTTAATTGAATTAATATTTTGTTGATCTAGAATCAATCATGTTTTCTAGTTCCATACATATTGTCACAGACTGCCTGTTGGCTTGTCATTCTAACTACTAAAAAATGTCTTGTCTACAACAATGATGTCTAAGGTAGTGTTATACCTTTGTTTATTTTGGTGGTCTAAATAGCAGCTTATTCTGGAGAAGTTTGAGTTTTAATACAAAAGTATTATATACATAAAACCCACATAAAGTATATTTAATCTAAAATAGCGACCCATTCAATGATTAATAGGCAATAATTGTACTTAAAGGTAAAATACAGGACTTCTGCATGCCACGTGATGGTTCATCCTTAGATTTGGGGTATAAATCTTCCATAGTGTCTATAGTCCTAAGATATGATTAACTTTGAGAATTAGAAGTGAGAAAACAGGATCATAAAACATCATGGATTTACCTTGATCACGGAGCATATTGATTACTCACAGTGCAGAGTACTTAGAAATGCTGCTTTAGGTAAGGACTGGCCCAAAATAAAACGAAAAAAGTGGTGAAAACTGTTTCTCTCTGTTGCTATATCACATTCTAAGCCAGACATGTTTCCAACTTTGCCCAGCTGAATTTTCATGAAAACATGAAAACAAAGCATGTACTGTGTATTTAAATTTTTATTGTTTGGCATTCTTTGAAGGTCAAATCATGGCAACACTAAATGGCACTAATATTATTATTTTATGGTTATAAAATATTTTAGACCACAGTATCATCCACAGTACACTGGATACAACTGTGAACAGCTTTTGGTTCCTGCAAAATACCAAAAAAAAAAAAAAAAAAGGAGAGAGAGACAGTATTTCCATTGAATATTGAATCCATTTTGAAGGACATGAAAAAGGAGATTTGAAATATGTTGGAGCAGTTTGACTTCTTTGAACAGCAGAAATCATATTTGAGTGTATAAAATGTCAAGCTTTTACATAATTCATGTTCATACCATGTAAACATTAGTCTAAGACCATAATGAATATTTATTATCAACTGCTGCATCCACAAAAGTATGACTGAAAGTACACTTTTTGTTGTTGCTATGCCTTGTGAATTATAGAGGCTAGTCATTTGTGAAAGATAATACGTAAACTATTTTTACTGTGGCTGATAATCCAATGTGTATTTGTTTTGTTTTGCTTTTTGCAGTACCAGGGATTGAACTCAGGGCCTTGCACTTGCGAGGCAGGTGCGGTACCACTGAGCTAAATCTCTGGCCCAATCCAATGTGTATTAAATGCCTACTATATTCTAGATTTCATGCTACTTTCTAGAGATACAGCATTGACCAAAACAAAGTTTTTGCCCTCATAGAAACTGTATTCTGGTCAGTGAGGACCTCCAATAGCTAATACAAATATCAATAGAGTCCCTGTCAGATAGTGATAAGTGAAGTGAAGAGAAAAAGAAGTAAAAGAACAGGAATTAATGGGGTGGCT